ACCGAAACCGAAACCGTAACCGTTATCTTGACCTGAAAAGGAACGATACCGAAACCATTTCAATCACAGGTTTCAATCGGTTTCCAGAAATTTATAAAAATAACAACTACAAATTTCTTTGAGACAAATTATTTATTGTGTATTATTATGTATTTAATAGAACCAATGACATGCTAAATAGTACAAAGGTACATTATTATCTGCTCCTGACATTATTTTATCTTACTTACCGGAATTAGTGAAAATGGATTTTGTGATATTGGACCCTTCGAACATTGTGTTATTAATACTATGACAGAGAACACGCAGTATACGTCGCATGAATATGCGGATATTCACCTAATTTACGGTGAAGCTTGCTGTAATGCCGGAGCTGCTCAAAGACTATGCAGAGCGATACCTCAATCGTCGGCATCCGGGTCGTGAAGTATTCGCCCGGACCCATAGAGAAATATATGAAGGTAAGTGATTTTTACACCTTTCTTGTTTGCTTGCTTGTTAACTATAATCTTTCACTTTTTTAAGGTCGCATACCTGGAAGGCGTGGCGGCGAAACAGGACGTCCTGCAACGGTAGATGTTGAAGTTGTGTTAGAGGAAGTGGAACTAGGTCCATCGACTCCAGTGAGAATGATGGAAAGACGGACGGGAATACCAAAAACTACAGTTCAAAAAGCTTTAAAAGACCATCGATTTCATCCCTACCACATTCAACGTGTTCAGGCTTTACAGGAAAGAGATTACCTGTCGAGGGTTAGATTTTGCCGTGAAATGTTACGAATGCATGCATCAGACCCCAACTTTTTTAATAAAATAATTTGGAGCGATGAATCATCATGCAAACGTGATGGTTATTTTAATTTACATAACCTTCACAGTTGGCAGATAGACAATCCTCACGAAATGAGAGATGATCGTTCGCAGTACCGGTACAAAATAAATTTATGGTGCGGTATTTTTAATTGTCAGATATTGGGACCTGTGGAACTGCTGCCAACGCTCAACTCTCACAGTTATTTACAGTTCCTTCAGGAACGGCTTCCAACTCTTTTAGAAGATGTACCCTTAAACCTGCGGCGAAGACTATGGCTGCAAAATGACGGGTGCGCTGCTCACTATGGGCGTGAAGTAAGAGCCCATTTAGACGAAACTTATCCTCGCCGATAGATTGAACGATACGGGCTAATCACGTGGCCCGCTCGATCGCCAGACCTGGATCTATTCGGTTTTTTCTACTGGGGCTGTCTTATGGCCAAAACATATTCAAAAACAATTCAAAACGAAGAGCATTTGCGGGAACAAATAAATGGAGCTGCTGCCGAGATAGCCCAATTGAGTTTAAGATCTCTAAAAGCGTCTTTTCTTAAAAGATGCCGAGCTTGTATTAGATTAGAAGGTCGCCAATTTGAGCATATTTTATCAATAAATGAATAAATTTTTCTTCAAACAACTCATGTATATTTTATTTCACGTGAACCCATCCTTCACAAAAAATATTGATATATATAGCCCTTGTTATAGACTCTAGTCCGAATTGCAGTAAGTAACATAGAATAATGTCAGGAGCAGGTAATAATGTACCTTTGTACTATTTAGCATGTCATTGGTCGGTAACAAGAGCAACTTAAATTTAAATCTATTAAATACATTCTAGCGTGTCTCAGTCCTTTGCCCACAAAAGCGGCTATAACTTGTTTTGCTATTCGAAACAGTAAGAGTGGCACCTTTCTGAAATCTTTATTAAATGAGCAATTTTTTTGTGTAGTGTAAAGTTATAGCTCAGTACATTTTTTTTTCACCAGAGATAGTAAAATTTGGGGAAGAAAATATCAACAAGTTAAAAATCCCAAAATAGTCCTAATTTTATGAGGGTTCCTTAATATATTTTAACTACATTGCATTTGCGTATGGAGAAGCAACTATCTGGAAGTATTCTACATAAAAAATTTACTAAGTATAGCCTGGTTTGTAGATGCATGAAAAGGCACGATTTTTTTTAAATTAAAAAAAATTTAAATATTTCAAAAACGGTGACACCATGACACAAAAAAGAAGGTAGTTTCAATAAACAACTTTTGGCGGATAATAAA